ATTTTTTGGGGTGAAATCTTTTTTTTGATTTTCTCAAAATCATGATTTTGACGTTGGTCACGTTTCTATTGTCCATACCTCATTTAATAGTGGCACACTATTGCTCATTAAATAAATGCAATTGTATTAAAAGTTTAATATAAAGCAAAATTTTATCTTTACATGATAAAAGAATATATATCAAGTAATCTGCCCAAGTTTAAAATTCTGTTTATTACATATTTGATTTCTTTAAACCTAATTTTGAAATAGCTATGATTTTACTTGTCATACTACCAATACTACTAAAAAGAAAGTTGGGAAATTTTTTTATAACTAATTTATTTCAATTACATTAATTGTCTTCCAATAATTATCAGATGGTATATGAATTTTGAATTGTGTGCATTCAGCATTATGTTTGACATGAACTAAATGATCTGTTCTGGAGTATTAATGGGCACATCTGGTTCTCTATGACCATCTAGGTAGAAATTGACAAGATATACATCCATTTTATAATGATCAACATATCTTACAGCCTGCCATAGTGCTTTATTGAAATCATTTGATGTGATGTTATTGACTTTGAATGAGTAAGCAACCAAATTCTCATTACCTTTAACTATCATTAAATCAAGTTGTTCATGACCACTGCACTTTACCTCTAGCAAACATAACATTGGCCTGGGAAGTAAGCCATTAAAGACACAATAAAGTGCTGCCTGTAAAGATCTTTCTGCTGAACCATCTACATTTTTAACTCTATCATCAATGATTGTAGAAGGATCAATGTGTTTCAATCCAAGTTCTAGCAACTTAATAGGATCAGTTGGTACTTTATTTATTGGTAAAGGTTGTAGTGGTTTAGGAAAGACTGTGTTGATACAAATACGCAGGATAATATAGCTTGTAAAACCAACTAATAATTATCACCAAAAAGAAAGAGAATGCCAACATTTATTAATCTTCTGATAAAGTGTTTGGGTATATTGGAATTTATGTACCATTTATCTCCCATATTCTTTGTAAGATCACGAATAATTGCCTTTTCAGTATCACTCATATTGTTTAACATTTTCTTCAGTTTGATATGTGTCACATTCATGTACTCACTAAGATTATTTTCCAACACATAGTTTCAGCTAGTTTCAGAGTCTGGACTAAAATCATTAAAGAGCTTTAACAAGATCATGAAAGAAACTGGGTGACCACAAGATTCTTGTATAATCTTATTCTGCAAATAGATAGGAACACCTTCTGGGTTGAACCTTTTTTCATATGAAGAAAAAAGCATACCCATCTCTTCAACATTGAATGGTTCCATTTTAATGAATTTAGCCTTGTTAAAAGGTGGATTGAGGTCCTCACTACATTCTTCATCACCTTTTCCATCATCATCCATCAAATCCATGAGCTTAGAGGTACCTACACCAATATAAATTAGATTCTCAGAGATTGAGATTGATCGGAAGAAATCTTTAGCTACATTAAGGAGCTTCTTGTTTGTAAAAATAAATTGAAATTAATCAATGAGGATATACAAAGGATCTTCTAGGTCTAAGATGCGTGTTATGGTTTCTACATCAGTAAGGGTTTCTTTAAAAAAGTAATATGATATGATTTTGAAATTTTCATTTTGTAAATCTTGTGATCTTCTTGATTCTGTTGGTTTTGTTATCCTGGTCACTGTTGTCATATCAAAATACACAAAATTTTTTCTTTCACCCATGAGTAATGATCTTATTTCTAACAATAAGGAGGTCTTTCCACTTTGGTATGGTCCATGAATAATACATGATTGTTTTGCTGTAATACCATTTATAACTTTTTTGAAGATATCTATCTCTTTTGTATATGAGAACCATCAGTGAAACTCCAGATGGGTATACTGGTCCTTCAGTTGTTATAACACATTCAGTATGATTTCTTTTCAAGTTGGTTGAAGCTAATAAAAGCAAAAGGCAAGTTCATATGATTTATTATGCAAAACAAACTTTCATTTTGATACAAATAGATAAATAAATAAACAAAATGGAATAAATGGAAAATAATTTTTTGTATATTTTTTTATGCAATTTGTTCATTACTTTTTTCTTCGACTCTTGAAAACTTCGTAGTCCACTTTCCAATTTCTCCCATCCAAAATTTTTCCTTCTCTTCTAATGTCTTCTTTTCTCCTTCTAATTCATCTTTTTCTTCTTCATAATCCTCTTCTGCCCTCTTCTTCTTCAAACTCTTCAACCTCTCCTCCCACTTCTCTTTCCATTTATTCAAGTCTCTTTTTGCTGACTCATATTCTCCTTTTGCTGACTCATACTCCAATGTTTCTTCATATGCCATTATTTTTTGGAAAAAAAAAAAATTGTAAAATTTAATTTTAAAACATTTATTTAGATTGTAATTGTTGCCCAATAATAAATTAATGGGCATATGACTTGGAATTTATTTATGAACAACAACAAAAGAAAATTATTTTTATTTTAATTCAACTAATTAATAATAGAAACACAAATAATTTTATAAAATATATAAGTTAAAGAATTATCAGAGTGCTTGCATAGGAGGAAAATACTCGGACCTAAAGCCATTTATAAGTATCACCTATTCTTTAGGCACTCTGACAAAAATTCAACTTTCACAATTACTTCTAATATTATTACTAATATTTATGTCATCATCATTTTTATTATCTTCTTCAGCTTCATTTTCTATCTCTTTCTTCATTTCTTTGTCAATCCACTGTTGAATTGTTTCTATTGTTTTCCTTTTAGGATTTTTTTCATTGGTAAAAGTTTTTCTCTCCAAGTATTTCACGAATTTCAATGGCCATTTCATTAAAGGATAAATCAGAATCCAATTCAACTTGTTTATCAAATAATTGCTTAAAATCCTTTTATAGATTTTTTATTTTCTTTTTATCATTAATAAGCTTGTTTGTTTTATTTTTAATTGGCTTTTTCTTGGTTCTATTTTATTGATTATTTTAACACTTCTTCATAAATTAATGAATAATCATTTAGTAATTGGTGTAAAATATCAGCCAAAGTTCAGGGTGTCTGATATGATACATTTTTTTTCCTGATAGTTTACTGATTTTTGGATACTGAGTTTCTACCTTTTGGTTATTGATTGTTGCCAATGTGCGCCAAAATTCAATAACAATCAGATATGAGAAAATCATCAATATTCTTAAAATAGGTAAAAATTAGCTAAAAATCAGGTACCTGATATTCCACCGATTTTATTCCGAATTGTCCTTTTTTTGCCTGTGAGTATTGGTTCAAGGTAATACTGTATCTCTGATGGGTTCATACAAGGGCTTAAAAGAAGTAAGGCGCATTGTGGTTGATTGTATTAAGAATATATATCATATAAAGGTATTGATCAATGATGTTGTTGTTCCTTGATGATAAAAAATGAATGACATTAAATATTTAAAATTACTTTTTATTTGAAAAAAAGAAAATGATGATTAAGAGAGAACTTTCTAAGGATCCTCAACTAAAAAAAAGAATCTTGGGATAGATTTCGCCTCATTTCAAGAAACAAAATACCAAAAGACAAAGACCAAGAAGAAAGAACATACACCTTTCCCACCTCTACAAAACCCAAGAAAGGTAATAATAACATTTTTTAATCTCTAATTAGGGAAAAGATAGAAAAATTAATTCAATATTATTAATGAAATTAACTTTCTTGAAAAAATTATTGTAAATTGATTTGCAATTGGATACAGCAAAAAAGTAAAAAGTCTAAAATAAACAATTATATGGTCAAAAATCAAGAAAAAAATTCAAGCAATAAACAATGAACTTAAAATAAAAATCATACAATGAATATAATTTAAATTTGTTTTAATATTTTCTTTTTTTGGAAGAATTAAATATAAATATACTAGAATGTAATCATATATTAAAACATCTAAAAGTGCCGATACCTAGTTCTTTTAAACAATCGATATGTATGTGCGTTTATTTATGTACTTGTGTTTGAATTTTAGGTAGAGGGTATTCATCAGATATTCTTTTATAATTAATCCTATTTTTAGTTAATTATTGGCTTAATTTAAGAAACCAATGGCTCTTTTATATTGTGATTAAGTTTATTGGTAAAGCTCTTTGTACTAAAATATCATAATCTTGAATAAGGTTTTTTCATAAAAAAAATGTTTTTGAGTAATTCGAATAATTCAAATAATTTGAGTAAAGCGAATAAAGCGAATAAAGCGAATAAAGCGAATAAAGCGAATAAAGCGAATAAAAGCGAATAATGCGAATAATGCGAATAAATGCGAATAAATGCGAATAAATGCGAATAAATGAATAGAATGAAAAAATGAATAAATGAATAGAATGAAAAAATGAATAATAGTAATTTGAAAAGTGAATAAAACGAATAAGAGAATAAAAACGAATAACTAATAATTCGAATAAAACAAATAATAGTAATTTGAATCAAAGTGGATAAAGCGAATAATTCGTAATTCAAATAAAAGAGAATAAAAACGAATAACTCAAATAATTAATAATTCACATAAAACGAAACAAATAAAACGAATAGTAATTTGAATAAAAGATAATAACCCAAATAATCAATAATTCACATGCATTAATTAATATTAAAATCAAAAAACAACAATAACTAAACAAACAAATGGCTTTATTGTAAAATAATTAATTTTGTTCCTTTGGGTTAATGATTTAAAAGAATTTATTCAAAATAATATTGTAAATGTATGATTTTGATATACCAATTTCAGTCCAAAATCAATCATATTTATATTTCTTTATTTCTTTTTTTGATAAACAACAAATTTACCCTTTGTCTATTTGTTTTACTAGATTCAAATAGATTTTATTAGATCAAATGGTACATTACAGCAAAATTTTGTAGAAGTCGCAAAATATGAAATTATTATTGTAATCAATTGAAATCAAAAATTAATTAACTAATTAGAAGGACTTTTCAGCATCAAATTTTTCAGTCAATCGTCAACAAAAAAAACCGTGACAGGTACAATGACAGAAAGATATTCAGCACTTAACCAATTTAGATATAACTTTAATTATCAAAATGGTATGGTGCAAGTCACTTGCCATAAAAGAAAATCAACCTTTTATTGTGTAACAGTGCCAAGTGGAACATATTAATGTTTCACGAAAAGAAGGGAAAATTTTCGACAATGATTTTCCAAAAAGTAAATAATAATATATACATTATAATTATTTATTCATTCAATTACAAGCATATATTATATAGAAATATTACAAATGTTTTATTGTCCACACGTTGATTTAATAGTTAAACAAGGATCTCCCTTAGCTAAAATTGGTTCTTCTTCTTTCAAGGTTGCTTTTTTTGACTTCTTTACATTTTCATCTAAATCATATAAACTGCAATGCACATAAATAAATATATTTTTAAAAAATTACATATTTAGAAACAAATAATCAATGGTACTTTACATTGCAACTCTTGTGATATAAAAACTCCAAGAATATGGATTTGTTTAAATGTGAATTATTTCTTTTTTTTTAAAAAAACAATTTAATTATTATGCCTACATTTCACATGTTCATGTAATAAACATAACAATCTTTTTCTAAAGAGTAATTGTTGTGTAATAGTTTGTAAGAGAAACTCTCCTACAGGACATTTGCATACTCATGTTGAAGGATATCATAAGGTTAGAAAAAGTGTAAATTAGGTGTTTATTGGCTGATCTGATAATGAATAATATGAATAACTTATAATAATGATAACTTAGGGAGGAAAAAAAAACCACTGTCATTGTATATTTGCAAATCCACATAATTTAGCAATATGGTGTCAAGCTTGTAATGTAGAATTGAATCCCTTTGAAAAGAATTTCTTATCATTGGAAACGCAAAAATTCTTAAAAACCATTGTTAGATGTCTGGTAATTATATATCACATTGAGTTTTTTTTGCTGATTTTTGATGATTTATTTTCTTTCCTTTTTTTTGAAAAATTTATTAATAATATCTATTTAAAACAAATTATAGCAAGTTAAAAAACATAAATCACATCAAAGTTTTAATAATCTAGCAATTGATGTTCCTGGTAAATTTATATTATAATGGAATTTCTAACCAATAAATTAATAGTTGAATGAATAATAATAATAGTATATATATGTAAATTTTATTAAAGGTCTCGTTGGATTAAAAAATTTGGGAAATACCTGCTATGCAAGGTGAAGATTTAATATTGGATTATATTTAAATTTAAAAAGTAAATTTACCAATTAATATTAATATAAATTTTGTAAACAATTTTATATATAGTGCCGCTCTTCAATGTTTATCTAATACGTAATGTTAATCATCATTATTATATATAATATTTTATTAATAATCTATTTCATATTGAAACTATGTGTATTTATAGTTAATTGTATGGTCTTTTTGTTTTTTTTGTAGGCCATCATTAACAAATTATTTTAGTTATTGTGAATCATATATACCAAAATTTCACACTAGTACAAGATTACATGGATATAAATTAGCTGAAAGGTTTCACAGGTTTTTTAGATCAATGTGGAATGGTAACAGGTTAGTTAATAATGAACTTGGTATATATTATATTGATGAATATATAGACTATTTCAAGTGGGATCAAATTTGAGAATTGTAGCAAAATTAGTTAGAGATTGAAAATTATATCCTCTTCTTTTATTTTTGGTTTTTTTTAATATATATATATGTGTGTGTGTGACAAAAATAACTTTTTTTGTAGTGCATTATATTCTCCAAATGATTTAATTGATGAGATAAAAAATTACAATGAAGCTTTTCGAGGTTATGGACAACAGGTTTATTGTTTATTCCTACTATTATGGTAAAAGTAATAACAATATTTATTTATTTACCATGTTATTCATGGTATTTGTATTATAAAGGACTCTCAAGAATTTCTTCGTTGTGTACTGGATATACTTCATGAAGAACTTCCTTACCCACAAAATACTATATCAAATAATCAAATAAATGAAAATACAAACAACAACAACAACAACCAGATAGCAAAATCATCAAGTTATGCTAGAAGCAACAATAGTCATAATTATAATAGTACCAATGATGTATATGAGTCATCATCTTCTGCTTTGATCACAGCAAATAATTTTTCTGATATTGTTGATAACCACTCACTTTCTACAAGTGTTATAAGTAATATTTTTCAAGGGTTGCTTGAGAGCAAAATTAGATGTTTAAAATGCAAAAAGGTTTGTTTAATTTTTATTATTATCAACATGAAAATTACAATTTTATTTTATCTTGGGACATAATATACAAATAAATATAAAAACTTTAGGATTATTTCAAGGAAGATCGATTTTATGATTTATCAATTCAAATAAATAAAAAATATAAATTAAGAAATATTGATGGTATTAATTCTAGTACTTTATCTATGAGATTATTTGTTGGTACATTAAAAAAATCTCTTGGGTAAGATATTATATATTACATGTATCTAACAATATAAAAATTACACAATAAATTAATTAATATTTTTAATGTTTATTACTAGAATTGGTGGTCATACTGCAAGCCTTCATGATTGTCTAGCAGAATTTTGTGCAACTGAAAATCTTGCAGGCAAAGATAAATATCGATGTGAACAGTGTAAATCATTGAATGATTGTCAGAAAACACTTAGGATTACTCAATTACCTGAGGTTTTTTTTTTCTAAAAAACATATATGTATACACAATACACTCACGGATACATGTATATATATATTTACATATTTATATTACCAAAATAGATTCTTTGTATTCAACTGAAAAGATTTCGCTTTGACCCATATTTTTCATCAAAAATTGCAACACAAGTCCAATTTCCAATGGAAAATTTGGACATGAGACCATATTGTAAGGAATCAATATCAAAGAAAAATTGTGATAGTCCAGGTATTAGTGAAAAACAAGAATCATTAAAAGTTACTAAATATGATTTATATGCATTAATTCATCATCGTGGTGGCTTATCTGGTAATATATTCAATATATATTTCCTTCCCCCTTAACATATTAGATTCCAGGAATTTGTCATTAATTTTGATATTTGATTTGTTTAGGTGGTCATTATATTGCTTATGCCAAAAATCCCATTGATGGGAATTGGTATGAATTTGATGATATGGTCAGTTATTCTCCTTACTAAATATTTTTAATTTAAAATATGTTGGTAGTAGGATTAAAATTAATGTAATTATTACTGTTATTTCAGTTTGTCACTAAAAAATCTGCTGATGAGATAATGAAGATCGAAGCTTATATATTGTTCTATAGTAAAAAAAATCCTGAAAAAAATCAAGAGAGAGTCTTAATTCAGAATCTAATAAGGAATAATGTATGTATTTGGATTTAACTAAACATGGTTTTTTTAATTAAAGAAAAAAATATTCACCTTTCAAAGTAGAAGTTTGATCTTGATTAAATTATTTTTTTAGTCTGAAATTTCTGAAAATGGAACACACTGTTGGGTTTCAAGATTATGGTTTAATAGATGGCAATTTATGATGACAGTAAGTTGACTAATTATTTATTATAATGTATTACTTTCATTTTTGAATTTAAATAATATTATTATTATAATTAGCCTGGTCCAATTTCAAATTATGATTTCATGTGTTCACATGGAGGTATGTATTTTCTTCTCATGCAATACATTTGCAATTAACATTTACAATTATATTTATAATACCTTTTCATATTGAAAGGTATCAATATGAAATTATATCCTAAATTACATGATATGGTAGTAAAGATACCAATCAATGTTTATTCAATGCTGGTTGACAAATATGGAACTGATGGTAGTCCACCATTGCTTATATCTGATGTTAAATCAGCAGGATGTTCTATATGCCAGGTAAAATTTATCACTATTGTTAATATGGCTGGTGTTATCGTTATTACTATTATTATAATAATTGTTTTGGTAAAAAATAAAAGCAACAAGAAAGATTAATGGATAAAAGACGTCAAAAAGAAGCTTGTGATATTCAAAAATTAGACACAAGTTCATTACAAAAAACAGAGTATTGGTTTCTAATTAGTTCAGTATGGCTTCAAAAATGGCATAATTTTAAAGCTGGAGGTGAATATTCGCATATTATTATTAATGATAGATATAATGATGAATGATAATATTAACACTTAACTTTACTATAGCACCTCCACCAGGTCATATTGATAATACAACATTTTTGAAAAAAGATGGAACACCAAGACCTGGGATGAAAATAGGTTCAAATCATTACATTTGTGCTTTTCATTTATAATAATAAATTATTATCTAAAGAAAAAAACATAAATGCATTATTAAATAGGTATTGATTATAGAGGAGTTAATGAAAGGGTTTGGAGCTATTTTGAATACATATATGGTGGTGGTCCTGTATGTGTTAGAGGTATGGGTCATTAGCTGAGTGAAAACGTCATTATTTATTATGATCGAAACATAAAATTTAATTAATCAATTAATTTTATAGCTGTTATTGATCTTTATTCATCGCCGTTAGACTTTGGAAACCCACAAACTAAATCTAACAATAGCAATGTTGTAACAAGCCCAAAAACTTCAAAATATTCATCACACCAATCACACCATTCTTCCAATCAAGTATATCAATCACGCCAACCTTCAAATCAACAACATCAATCATCTTATTTGTCACATCTAATTCATTCACCAAATTCATCACATTTAAATCATTCATTGCCAAAAAATCCACCATTAAATCCAGCTTATCCAGGAAATTATTATAAATATGATAATCGACCAAGATTTTAACACAATAATATTGAAGAATATTGTAAATTTTTTAATTATTATTCTTTTTTATGTAATTATTATTTTTTAAAGAATGATTTCCTTACTGTTATTATTATTTTAATAGTGATAATAGTTATAATTATTATGATTGTGATTATTTATTTATTTATAATATTGTAAATAGTTTTTATTAGAGATTTTCTTTGATGCTCAAACAAAAGAAAACCTGTAGATTAAATTCGAACTTTTTTTTTTAATACAAATAAAAAGAAATTAATAATAATAATGCTAATAAGAATATTGGTCAGATATCAGATTCTGATATTTGCTGATATCTCATTACCCAATTTGGCATCATTCAACCAGTAAAAAGAGAACCAATAGATTATATATAAGCAAATAAAGATGGGGCCTTAAATTAGCACGAAAGAATTTTAAATCATGCACAAACATAAACAGCTTGATAGCTTGATTGACATAGTGGTGTAGTCTTGCAATTGTTTTTATTGTATATTTTAAATATAATTAATTATATGTCTTTAATAAAACAAACATGACTTAGCTATTTGATCGTTTCCTAGTATGTGAATGTCTCCATTCATCAAATATTCACAATGGTGCTCCATAAATTCACCCACATGACTTTTGTGTAAAAAAGAAATTTATTGCATTAAAATTTATTCGTGATATAAATGTAGAAACAAACATTATCATTTGTTGTTATCTCATAGTCAAAGTCAAGAATTTTGTTATGTTATACTCTTAGTCTTTTATAGAGGTTAGCACCGCGCAAAAATTCTTTAACCATTAAAATTAAGAGTTAACCAGTTAATTTAGTCACGTGAAATTTTTTATTACTTACAAAATAATCACGTGCCTGTTGAATTTTATTATTATACACTTAATAGATGCTAAATGATTACAGTCAAACCTCGCCACAGCGGATTCATGGTTCCAGCCAAAAAAATCCGTTATTATTATTATTATTATTATTATTATTATGACAAGAAGTCCGCAGCGGAAAAATTGATCGGGCAAAATTTTTTTAATAATACAAAGCTCTCACTCTATACCGAACCTTTTGTCCAATATATGCATTTTTCTGCTTTTGTTCATTATAGGGAGAAATTAATTATAAAAAACTGAAACGGAGACAGCGACAAAAGGGAAATTCGTTATAGAGAGGTTTGGTATAGTGCAATAAATTAATAAACTAAATACAGAAATAAATAAATGAATAAATGAATAATACGTACGGAAATGAAAATTATTTGTTGAAATAAGATGTAATATTTGGTTGTATTATCTAATAATTTCACTTTTTTCAATGGTTTAAATGCTTTAAATTCTTTACAATCTATTTCTAAATCACATTGTTGAAGAAAATTAAAAGCTATCTCAAAGGAAATTACGGCATCTTTCATTGAAACTTTAGGCATAGTGTTACTCTCAACAACTATTATATTATTAACATCATTTTAAAATCTCTTCGACTATATTTCTTGAATTTCATTATTAGATATTTCATTTTCCAAAAGGAGAATCCTCTATCAATTTTGGTAATTTGGACATTTATATGTCACGTGAATCTGCTGTAGACATAGAAAGACCCCATCAAAAATCCGTGGAACAAATTTATTATTAGTAGTAGGATCCATTATTATTATTAATAAGGGGACAATACTTAAATCCGTTGTAACAAGAAATGTGTTGTGGCGAGGTCCGCTGTGACGAGGTTTGACTGTAATATATAAAAAAAATTAATAAATGGTAGTTAACGGTTAATTTAACCAGTTAATTTTAACTGGTTAATCAAAAAGAATTAACCGGTCAAAAAAATATCTTGACCGGTTAACCACGGTTAAACGGTTAACGGTGCCAACCCTACTCTTTTGTAATTTTAGCTTTTAATTTCACAACGAAATTATTTATTCGTATAGCTTTGTAATTTTACAACGAAATTGTTCATTCTTGTTATAGCTTTGTAATTTTACAATGAAATTGTTTATTGTTAAAAAATAAATCTTTCAATCAATGGTGGTGGTGATTATTGATGATGTAACTCGTTACTCTGTTAAATAAAAAATTCTTTCAACAAGTTACACGATAATATTCGTAACTTTTTGACAAGTAAAAACTGACAGAAATAATAATTGAACAAAAGAACCAAATAACTAATATTTCAGGCTTTGCTCATAAGAGTAGGGCCGACACTAATATTGATTATTTCTTCTTTACAAATAATTCGTTTTGTAATAAACCTTTTTCATAATTAGATGTTGGAATTGACTAAAATAGTCGACTAAACTTTTTTTTGAACAACTAATAGTCGACTACTAATACCACTAATACTAATACTAATACTAATACTAATACTAATACTAATACTAATACTAATACTAATACTAATACTAATACTAGTCTGACCAATTACGATTTTTGTGTTTTATCATTCAAAATGGAAAATTTTTATGTGAAAGAGTATCAATACCATCAATATGATGATGACGACAATAGTAGTGTGTTGTTGATGATAATTTTACACGTGAATGAATAAACACTTCCAATACAAGGTCCAATAGTTCTTTGGCTTCAAGTTCCAATGATTTAAGCGGCGGTTCCAGAAAACCTTTAAAAAAACGAATCGTAACATAGTTTTGTGTGGAAGCATTTTGAAAAAGTGAAAGATTCAAATGGAAATGAATTCGTAATTTGCAAATTAAAAAAAAAACAAAATATTATTATTATTATTATAAAAAAAAATTTAGTCAACTAAAGAAATTTTTGACCAACTAGTAATCGACTAAGGATTTTTTGGACATTTCCAACTTCTAATAATAATAAAAAATTTTTTTGGCCGGAAATTAACACTAGGGTTTAATTGTCCATTTGGTTATCAGAGTGGTGTAGAACTTTGAGTTTTTGTTTATTTGCTTTGGTATAAAGCAAAGGCTTGAATTTTTACCGGTGTAGTGTTGACAACGGGTTATTTTTGCTTAGTAAAGAAGCAAAAGTTTGATTTTAGGTTTTGGAAAACGTAAAACATTTTTATTGTTTTTTTTTAAACTGTTAATTGTTTAATTGTAAACGTAAGGTGTTGAGACTGATTAGCAAAAAGTATTAAGTGTTGGCAGTCATAATCATCTATACGAGGCTAACAGCTATTAACCAAAGTCATTACTATGTGTTGTTATTTGTTGCAAACATATGGCTGTCTTCAATCGGCCAAAGTAAAGTATAAAATGTAAAGTAAATAAAATAGAAACTTTATAGGTGCCTTGTTGCTTTGTAGAAGGGCCATCTTTATTTTATTTATTGTAATTTGTACCGTAAAGTGTGCTTACATTTGCTGAAGTTTTCTAAGTGCAAGAAAGAGGTAGCTAGCAAGACAAGTGTAAATAAATTCATAAAATAAATTAATTGACAAGGATTGTAAATAATATAAGCTTGCAATAATCGACAAGTGTAGCTAAAGTTAATTCAAAACTCGGCCATGAATAAAAAATAATCAGAGTTGACCAAAAACTATCCTTACAATATTAAAATTCAAATTTTCATATTAAAATGTACATATTATATAGTAGAATATAAAATTCCAAACAGAATTTTAATTGAAACAATAATTGAAAAATTTATACGAATAGAATCTCACAAAAATGCAAAAAAATTATTATCTCTAAGAGTTGAAATGAAACTTTTTTTGGAAGATATAAACACACCATTGGAATTATCACATTCAATAACGGCGTTATGTATATATCATCTAACAGACAATATGATGATAAGATTCAATACAATATCATTTATATATAGGGCATTTGGTATTAACCAATTAATTAGAAATTGTGGTCAAACAACCATCAATCATGATCTTTATCCGAAAAATTTGTTGTTACATAATCACCAAAAACATTGTTATGATATTGGTGTTAAATGGTTCCAGAAGAGTTGTTACGTGTCCATTAAACAGAAAATATTATATTATATGGTTGGCTCAATCTAAAGACCTTCTATTGCTGTGCCACACGCACAAATTTTCAAACATATATATAGCGATTTCCGTGATAACATATATATATGTAAACTCGATAAGTCGGTCATGTGGGGGTGAGCTCATATGACCGACTTATCGAATTAAATTACTTAAATATTAAGAAAATGGGGTGAAAATTTTGGCCGACTTATCGAGTTTACATACGTATAGTTAAAAATCTTTTTATGGATAGATCGTTGTTACACACATTTCAAAAGATCAGCAAGATTTCAACCTGTCAGATGAACTGTTAGCTTTACGACACAAAAAGGCATTAGAATTACTAAATAAGCCAGGACAGAGAGAGTCTTTTGAGGAGTGGACCAAAAATTCTATTAATATAACTGCATTGAAAGAGTGGGAAGAAGCTGGTGAATCATTTGAAAAGATGATGAAATTTTAGGTATTTATAATCACTTAGGATATTTACAAAAATCTCAACATATTGAAAACTTTATCTTTGAACTTCTAGAATACTTAAAGTACAAGAAAAACGAAGCTTGTAAGGATGGTACCAATTCTGAATCAGTTGGTGGTGTTTTATTTGACTCTCATGTCTTTTTAACTTTAAGGAGCCGGAGGATGTAACTCTGCAAATGATAAAGAACATAAACCTAGAAATATCTGGGATTTACTCCAACAAGGATGATAAGGCCAAGAAGGAGAGCTCGCCTAATACTCCCAAAGCCAGATAGCAACCCACTTCATCAAATATAAGAACAGTAAACATCGTGGTAAAAATTCTAGACCAAAACAAATACCTGACTCTGTCAATGTACACAACCAGAATGCCTAACAGTTTGGATAATTCAAACCTTTAAAATTTGATAAAAATGTAGAGGTCAATATAAGAAAATATAAAGGTCGTTGGTTCATGGAAATTGCTTTTTTAATAATCACGCAAACTATGTAAATAAAACATCTTTATTAATATATTTCTTTATTACAGAGAATGTGAACCAAGTTCACAGCGTTACATGTTTACTGCAGTAAATGTTTATTTTTGGTCAGATGGCACTTAAGGTACCTTTTGCTAGAGAGCCAGCCCCATAAAACAGCCACGTTGATCCTTACTCTTAATAGCAATCTTCATTATTATTAGATAAGGTTACCGGATCTATCAAGGGAGTAATATCCTTTTTTGTGTGTGTCCCTGTTTATGTTTGTTGAATGAATTATATATTATTATAGATACCATGCATGTAGATCTCTAGTGCCGTAATAGTAAGAAATGACGTGACTATTTCTATCATTTATTTAAATTGATAAATGTTTTTGATAAGAAATAAGATATACAAGTGTTATTCGTTAAGTACATTTTTTAATATTTTCAAAAAATAAAATTTAACTGTTTTTAATTATTATTGATAAAATTATTAGTTATTCATCTTATCAAAAGGGAAAAGAAAAATTTATATTTCAAACATCAGCAATATTAAGAAACTTCAATAATATACAAAAATCTAATATACCTAAGTTACAAATTATTGACTCGAAATTTACAACTATGACATTATCAAAATTTGATAAACTTCCCTCGGATTTTGTGATTTCTCCTGATAATTCGCATGCTGTATTTTCAAAGATAATCGAAAAATCTGAGAATGATGATCGTTCTTATCGCTTGATTCGTCTAAATAATGAATTAGAAGCATTGCTTATTCATGATCCTGAAACTGACAAGTCTAGTGCTGCTTTAGATGTTCATGTTGGACAGTTATCTGACCCAGTATGATTTTCTACCATATACATATTGTTTATATATTTTTTTTGATGTTTTTGTGAAATTTTTTTATTATAATTATTTAGGACAATTTAGAAGGTCTTGCTCATTTCTGTGAACATCTTTTATTCATGGTAATATTTATATACATGTTTTTTTTTAAATAATTAAACCAATTAATTCATTTTTAATAATATTTAGGGCACAAAAAAGGTAAAGAAATCACAAATGATCAGTTGATATAGAAACCTCGTGAAATCAAATTTTTCAATATTATACTTAAAATTATATTACTTATTTGTAGTATCCAAAAGAAAATGAATACTCTGAGGTAATTGAAACTTATTATTTGTGTTAATATCTATCTTTGGACTTATTTGCATAATAATAATGTATAATTCATTAGTACCTATCAAATCATGGTGGATATTCAAATGCATATACTAGTGTAGATCATACAAATTATTATTTTGAAGTAGCTCATGAAAATTTGGAAGGTGCTTTGGATAGGTAACTAATACTTAATATATACTTTAAAATTTAGAATAATCATTATAGCTTTAATTAATTAATCAATTAATTATTAATTTTTTATAGATTTGCACAATTTTTTATATCACCATTATTTGACCCTAGTTGTACTGACAGAGAAATTCTTGCAGTGGATTCTGGTAATGATCAATCATATATATATATATATAAATACACATTATATATTATTTAATTTTACTTAAAATATATGGTAGATTGAAGACAATCTAATCTTTTTTTAAAAAAAAAATATGCATATATATAGAATTTAAAAAAAATCTTCAGTCTGATTCCAGAAGATTATATCAAATTGATAAAGCTATATCAAACCCAAAGCATCCTTATAAAAAATTTGGTACTGGAAATTTAGTTACCTTAAAAGATAATCCACTTAAAGAAGGATTGGATATTAGAGACGAGTTATTAAAGTTCCACAATAATTACTATTCAGCAAATATAATGAAATTGGTTGTGTTAGGCCAAGGTATTATTAATAATATATTTATCACATCATTTAATTATTTGGATTTTATTTTTATTTTTGATGATCTATTTTTTTTATGATGAATAGAACCTTTGGATCAATTAACTCGATGGGTGGTGGATAAATTTTCTGATGTTAATAATAAATCAATACCAGCACCAAGTTTTGAAGAAAACCCTTTTACTAAAAATGAATTGATGGTAAATGTTTTTGAATATAAACATAATATTTATGTTAAAATTTTAACTCCTTGTCTATTTAGAAAAAAGTATATGTTAAACCTATTAAGGATTTAATAAATTTGGAAATAAAGTTTCCTTTTCCAGTTCAAGATCCTTTATTCCGTACTAAGGTAATATATATTAACACTTTATACTTTTTAACTTTTTTCATATCTATAAATTTTTAAATTTTTTTTCTGTAAAACATCATTATAAAGCCTGGAAGGTATATATCACATTTATTGGGTCATGAAGGTACTGGCTCTATATTTTCACTGTTGAAAAAGAAAGGTTTGTTATTTACAAAAAAAAAAAAAAGAAAATCATTATTTTTTGTTTATTTATTTATTTACTTATTTACTTATTTACTTACTTTTTATTGAAAAGGTTTAGCAAATTCTTTAGGTGCAGGATCAGGAGATGTGAGTGCAGGATTTGGATTCTTCAATATTGATGTTGATTTAACTGAATCTGGTCTAGGTAATTTTATGAGCGATTCTAATTAATAGTTATAATTGTTATAATTGTTATGATTATATTTATTTATTTATAACCATATAATGTTTATAGCTAATTATGAAGAAGTTGTTAAAATCATTTTTCAATACATTAAAATGTTGAAAAACGAAGGAATTAAAGAGTGGATATACAATGAGGTATGGTTTTAACAAAAATAAAATTTTTTATATGGGGATAATGTATATATTATATTTTACTAAATAAAAATTTTGTAAAGGCCAAAACTCTTTCTGCCATATCATTTAAATTCAAAGAAAAATCTCGACCTGAAAGTTACACTTCTTATCTTTCCAATGCTTTGCAAAGTTCATATCCTCGTGAATGGGTCTTAAGTAAACCCTATATTTTCAGGGAATACGATCCTAAGTTAATCCAGGAAAGTTTAGATTGGTTAAGACCTGATAATTTTAACCTTACTTTAGTCAGTCAAACTTTTACTGATTTGGATCAAAAAGAAAAATGGTATGGTGTAGAGTATAAAGTTGAACCCATCAGTGAAAACCTCCTTCAGGTAAAAGATCCATTAAATATAATTTGTAGAGTATATTGAAAATATTTATTTGATATTGTGGCTCATTACTAGCTTAAGAATAGTTGACTTATATATATATATATTATTAGGAATTAAAATCGGAAACTATTGACTCTGAATTAAAACTTCCATTATCAAATGAGTTTATTCCAACAAACTTTGAGATTAAAAAACAAGAAGTCATTACTGTATGTTTATTAACAAGAAAATATCTTTTTAGGAATACTTCCATTTTTCAATTTATTCAAATTTAAATATTATAATAATATAATAATTTGATTAGCCCCTCAAACATCCAAATTTAATTAAAAACACTGACTTGGTTCGTATTTGGTATAAAAAAGATGATACATTTTGGGTACCTAAAGTTTACATTTGGTTCAAAATTCAATGGTAAAGCTTTTAATTTAAATCAATCATTTAATACAAAATAATGATATCAAATATATTAATTGTTTATTAGTCCACTAGTGTATACTACACCAGCCCATGCTGTCAAGGCTCGTTTATATACTGATTTAATAACAGATGCATTAAATGAATACTCCTATAATGCAGAAGTTGCAGGGCTTCATGCTAGTTTACGATATGGCAATGATGGATTTTACTTTTTCATTTCTGGATACAATGATAAAGTGGTGGTTCTTTTAGAAAAAGTACTTTTGAAAGTGAAGAATTATGAAGTTGATTCAAAAAGGTTTGATATACACAAGGAAAAACTATTACGAATATATCGTAATACCTTATATGATAAACCTTACCAAATTGCAATGTATTATGTTTCTAATTTACTTTATCAAAAATTTTGGACAAATGAAGAAAAATTATCTGCATTGGAGAATATTGTTAGTCAGGATATTCAAAATTTCTATTCATATATATTAAATAATTTACATATTGAATGTTTAGTTCATGGAAATGTTGACAAGGAAGACTCACTAAAATATATAAAAATTTTTGAAGATATTCTAAAACCCAAGTCACTTTCTCCTTCACAAAAAGTTGGGGATAGACCAATTTTATTACCAGTGGGAAAAAGATATGTTTATCAACGTGATGTTTATGATACTAATAATGTCAATTCAGCAATAGAATATTATATTGAAATTTGTCATAATAAAGATGTTAAATCAAGAAACAAATTAAGCATATTGGCACAAATTATTAATCAACCTTTTTTTGATCAAATCAGAACTAAAGAACAATTGGGTGAGCACCATTTATTATTAAATATATATATATATTTGTTTGCTAACTAATTTTGATGTATATATTAGGATATTTGGTATTTAATGGGATAAAAACAACTGCTGGAATAATGGGTTTAAGATTTATAATTCAAAGTGAAAAGGACCCAAATTATCTTGAACATCGAATTGAAGAATTTATTAAAGCATTACAAGTATACTTTTTTTAATTAGTTAATATTTATGTATTTATATATATTAATCAATAAATCAATCAATCAATCAATTATTTTTTTAGAAAATAATAGAAGAAATGTCAGATGAAGCATATGAGAAACACATTCAATCAATCATTACAATAAAAACAGAAAAGCCTAAAAATTTATATCAAGAAGCTTATAGATATTGGAATCATATTACTAATGGATATTATGAATTTAATAAAAGTAAAATTAAAATATTTTTGTTTAAAAAAATTTTCTATACTATACAATTCAAATAAATCAAATAACTTTATCATATATTATTAATATAGCTGAAACTGATGTTGAAGAATTACGTAAAATTACAAAATCAGAAATACTTGATTTTTTCAAAGATCATTTTTATACAACATCACCAAATCATAAAAAACTTTCAGTACATTTAAAATCACAGAAAAAAGTCCAAAAAACCAAACCAATTGACATAAAACATCTTCATTCATGTTTAAATGAACAAGGAATCACTAAATTTGATATAAGAGAATTAGAAGAGACTTTAGATTCTACTGAATCAGAAAAAATTGATGCACAAGCATTAGAAGAGATTTTGACAACATTGTTAATTGATGAGAGTAAGGCAAATGAAGAAGAAATTGAAATCTTGATGAAAAAGATTAGCAAATCATATTTGAATAATGGTGGTAATGAAAGTAGCAGTAATATTACTAAAGATTTGAATGGTGATGGTGATTGCAATAATAAAAATAAAGAGAATGGTATTGGAAAACAAGAAATTCATGTTGATAATGAATTGGTTGAAGATATTGTTTTATGGAAATCTAGCATGAATTTAGGACCAGCACCAATTCCTAATGTTGATTTAAATAAATTTATTGAAACAACAAAATAAAATACATCATATGATATAAAATATAGGTTTGATTCTTATAAGAATGAACATGAAAATAATTTTGCCTGATTTTGGTCATTAATAAAAATAGTTGGGCCTATAAAAATTTAATTTTGTCCAAAGTATACAAAAAATTGGAAAATTCTGCATTCAAATGTTCAATCAACATTTTTCTTTCTTTATGTTTTTTCTCAATGATCATTGATTCTTTGGTGATAGATTCTTCAGCATTCTTGAGGTTGATCAGTTCATTATTCAAGACCTCTAATTCCTGAGATTTGCTTGTGATCTGTGATTTGAGGTTTGTGATTTCTCTTTAATGATTGACAATTTTCTTTTAATTTCACTGTCCTTTTCCAATGATCTTGACATTTTGTTTTTTTCTCCTTGGGTTCCCCCTTGATCTTCTTGTTTTCCAAAATGCAAGATTTGATCCGTTTTCTTATTGTTAAATAATAATTAGAGTCTCTCAGGGTTGTGCAATTTCGCTGTATGAGAAGAATCTTCATACGTATGTATGTACAGTTTCGTTGTGGTTGTACACCTGTACGAGGAAATTTTACATATGTATGTATGTACGTATGAATGTACGAATGTACAATGTATCAGGAACGATGATTTTCTGTGGTGACAAAATATTACTTTGTAAAATCCTATAATAATATTATTATTATTAAGCTGATAACCCTATTATATAATTAATGGATTACCAGATGTTGTAACTGGGGTTGTAACACTATTTCA